GCTGACACCTTATAGCCCTGACCACACTGGTTACAATAATCATTATCTCTTCGCGGCCGCCGTGGGCGCCGAGCACAAGTCGCACACGTACCCCGACGGCTTCGGCGCAGCCCGCGACTGCTTGGAATACGCCGACGCCGACGCCCCGGCCGCAGCCTGGTCCGACGGTGCGGGCGGCCGCGCGGGGCCCGACCCGGCGCAGCGGCGCTGCCTGCGGGAAAACTGCGCCTTCTACGGCCGCGCAGAGACGGAGCACTACTGCTCCTACTGCTACCGCGAGGAGCTGCGGCGGCGGCGGGAGGCCCGCGAGCCCCGCTCCTGAGCGCGCCCCTGCCCACGGGATTCCTCGTCCGATCCGTCTGTGTGTTTTTTACGGACCCTGGTCAGCTCTAGGAGCCCAATGACTTCTCTGTCACTGCTGTGTATGTGTTTGGTCAAACGTTCCTAATGGTGCCTGAACCTACACTGACCCCACTCAGGTAGTAGACGGATAGGAAACAAGTCATACTGTGGGATGTGGGACGTGTGAGTCCAGCCTCTGCCTCGTACCTGTGGAAACTCAATAGCCATTGCCAGAGTATTTTTGTTCCTCAAAAAAGAAATAAATTTGCAGCCCTTTGTTTTTAGAAGGGGATGTTTTCCATGCTTTTTGGTTTTGCCTTGTTTTTCCTAACCTAGCGACTGAAGTGGTCTCTTTCAGGCACTTGGTTCCATCCAAGGGTGTATATATACCACCAACCGAGGACTAGTGGCTGAGGTTCTGCTGCAGCCTCCCTTTCACCCTACAACCCTATGCCACCCTCCACCCCGACTCCTTCAAGGAAAGGAGAAAGGAGATCAGCCACCCTCTGAAGCTATGCGGTTTCCTGTGGCCCTTTAGGAATATACAGCACCATCTCATTAGCCAAACCTCTTCCTACAGCCGCCGGGCTAAACAACATTCACACTGCCATCCAAGCCACAGGCACCATAGAACGGGAAACTTAAAACCTACCTCTCAGGGCCTGGTGAGATGTACTGACTGCTAGGGTGGCGAGAGAAGGGAGGGGGCAGGGGGCGCGGGACAGTATTCCACTGACAAGAGCTTCCTAAAGATCATTTGGATTCTGAAAGCAAGACATACATGAGCAAAGATGAGAGCTTGCACACCTGCCTCCTTTGAAGACATTTCCACAGTAAACTCTTGATGGAGGGCTCCCCGAGAGCACAGATAGCACCCGATGCTCAGGGAGCGAGGGATGAATGGTTGGTGTGTGAGCCCCATTTCGTTGCTTAGTAACCCACACACTCCTCTTTCCAAATGGGAGGGGCTTCGAGAAGGTGGGGAATGAAAGGACCCCAGCCTCAGCATCCCCTCCAGTCTGCCTAGGGTAGTGGAGTGAAATGGTCCCACTCCCAGTATGCAGGGAAGACCTCACCTGTGGCTCCATTGTCGGAGCAGCCAGATGCCGGAGCAGCCCCCTTTTGGTGCCTCCTATATTTCTTGACGGGAAAAAAAAACAAAAAAAACAACCTGTGTCCTTTGCCACCATGCTTAGAACAGCAATATTCTGTCTCCTGGGGCCTCTTGTTCTTGGCTAAGGACACTGAGGAGCTAAAAACCTGCCTCCCTAAGGAAAAATCTTGTTTCCAAGGAATACAGAGAAGATGGTAAAATCATTATTAACAAAAGAGTATTTAAAAACCTGTGCAAGCCTTAGCATCGCCTCTAGTAATCCTAAGAAGGAAAGAAGATGACCAGCATTGCCAGTGTATGCTCAGAAAGTGCAGGAGGTAGAACATCTCATCATTGGAGCCATCTCTTCCTTTTCCAAAAAGGATGCTTTCCCCGAATGTAAAGAACAGCAACAGCAAAAACAAATAAAAAAAAGAAACGGATTTATTTTTACTTGCTTAAAGAATTATAATAAAAATATTTCCTATAATTCCTTTTTTAATTAATCCACAGTCCAGGGAGCTTTCCATAATTTATTCAAGTTTTACATAAGTGGGCCCTTAAAATTATTTAAGAGAGCCTTTATTAAATAGAGTCTTTAAGAAAGTTTTGAAAGTTTTATTTTTCACATTGAACAATATTTTCAATGTGTGGTAATTACTAACATTCATGTCCCTCATAAACCTGGGATTTCTTTTTTACTCAGGAAAAAAAAGTATTTTTTAAAAAATGTCTTTCATCAAGAGGGTTTGCTATCATTCTTTGGACTGATTCTTCATGTCATAAGGATCGACTGTTTCACCAACCAAAGCTGTGGGGTCACAGAGAGTCTTGCTTCAAGTGCAGACCCCTTCATCCACCCCACACTTAGAAGTTAAACAACCGTCTTAAAAGGTTTACGTGTGCACTCAAGTCAAATTCAGATGCACAAGAAGTTGAGGAAGTATAAAGCCAAGTCCTATTTGTTTAAAAGATTTGTAAAACAGTCAACCAGAAATTTCCAAAACTGGCTGTGAACTATTGCTTCTTTCTCATACTTCCTGAGAATTTTTTTTTTAAGAAATTTAAAAAGCAAACCAAAAAATATACCAACAACCTTGCCCATTGTAATGGAGGAACAGCCTTCCCTACAGGCAGTGTAATACTATCTAGAAGCAGTGACCTGAGTTTCAGAGTAACTTTTCACCCTCGCCCCTCTGTTGACAGCTATGTAACAAGAATTTAAGATTCAACCCCTAAACACAATGTGGGTCCCTTTCACCATGTAATGGGACCCCAGGTACTCAACCATGGCTCAGGCTGGGTTTGGCCACACCTGGTGGTGCCTGCTCCAGGCTGACACCTTATAGCCCTGACCACACTGGTTACAATAATCATTATCTCTTGTGAAAGATCTAGATCCATCCTCCCTCTAACAGTTTTTTGTTGGTTTGTGGTTTTTTTTAAGTGGGGAACCTATTGTTAACACTGAATTTACACGTTCTGTGCATCAACAATACACTCTGTTGTTCAGAAGAACTCTTCAGCAGATGGGCAGGAACTTAAAATCTGTGTTGTTTCAAAACTAATAAAACCAAATCAGTTACCACCAAGTTAATCATTTCTCCTGGTTATCTTATGTGTGTCAGAATATAACGGCCTTTTATGGGTTTTCAAAAACTGTGACCTTTCTTCTAAGGAGCCTCTGGGTATATTTGAACCACTGACTTTTCAGTTAGTACACCAACAACACTTAGTCATGTACTTCCCAGGGAATCCTTAGTCTTTGGGGGAACCAGTTTTGGAGCAATAGAATCCTTAGTCTTTGGGAGAACCATTTGTGAAATAACGGAAAAAAGAAGATCGTGCACCCTAAATCTATAAAGGCAGCCAGTCTTGCCAGAGCAGCATCCCCGCTGACATCAGAGGCCCAGTCAGAGGCTCCCTGCCAGATTTCCCTTTCTGAAAACGACAGATGTCTCTCAGCAACAGTAAGATCAGAAAGATCCAAGGCTTTTCTAACACATTAAAACCAAAACTCACTGCCATTGAGTCAATTCCAAGTCATAGTCACCCTATAGGGCAGGGTAGAACTGTGGATTTCTAAGACTGTAACTCTACCTGAGTAGAAAGTGTCATCTTTCTCCTGCAGAGTGGCTGGTGGTTTCGAACTGCTGACCTTGTGCATTGTAGCCCAAAGCGTAACCACTACACCACACCTGTGGGGGTCATTTCAGTAATTTTCTTCATATATCTCCTATAGAACTGTTATATGGGAATATGATTTTTAAATATAATACTCACATTATTAAAGGAAGGTGTTTTAAGTGTATTATTTTGTAGATTTTATGCTGTGCTACATTAAAATTTTACAAGTCAAGTTTAAACTGTATTATAGAAATTATTTTTATATGATTTTCAGAATATGCCACAGAGCAATATTTTATGTCCTTGTCATCACAGGGTATCCCATAGAAGGTTAGCACTAGACTGGAAGGAGATCCACGATGGGCTCTCAGGTTTAAATGTTTTTTATCATTTGTCTCAATTCTTTCAGAAGGTAAGAATTCATAAATGTTTTTTTAATGGAAAGCTTGATAGTATTTTGGTTGTTTTTTTTCCCTATTCATGGACTTTGTCACCGCACCGCTCTTCTTAAATGAATAACTTTATATTCATTAAGTTACTATGGATTGTTTTCATATTACCACCCAGTGAGCTCAAGTGGATTTTCAGGGAGTTTGAATGTATTACTTAACAAATGTAATGTTTTCCAAAATTATTTAATGTTTAGTGACTCAAAATAAAAGGATTCTCTGTGTCCCTAGATTCTCTGGGGGAGAGGCGATGGGTACTTCTCTCTACCTTCTAACCTATTAGACTTATTTCACAAACTCTTTTCTAAGAATATATTTCATGTTCATAAGGGAAAAGCCCTGTACCTATCAGCAGTGGGAAATTTGTGCAAGGCAAGAAAAATTATGTTACGAAACTATTCTTGATGAGACGTTCATGATTCCTGAGAGACCTAGAGTAAAAGAGATGGCACTGCCTGAATGCTTAGGGTTCCTTTCTTTCTTCTTTGACTCCTTTTCCTCATCGCAGTTTAGGCTTTAAGAGCGTTTTAATTTTCCTTCTTCTAATGCTTCTAATAAATGATTTTTTAAATGCTTGTTTTCAGCTGCAGTGAGCCATGAATCCTGCCTTATTAGATTTACATGAAGCTGCTGGCTTCTGCTGAAGCCTCAGAGCCGCCCAAAGCAGCAAGGTCAAGAGGACCAGTGCTCAGCCCCAGGAGTAGGCAGTCCCTTCCAAAAGCCTTAATGTAATGGCTCGCTGAAGACCCTCTCTGCACCACTTCCTGATGTAATCTTGGTGACATACTGGGCTGTATCGTCTACCAATCCCCTTTATGCGTGGCTCTCCACAGACACGGCAGCAGCTCAGCTTTCCTTCTGTTTCATTCTGTTGGCTCTTCAGCCAGGCTGCCAGAAAAGAAGACAAGGGCCTGGCTGGGCTATGGAACCCAACTCCATTAGCACAGTATGTTTCTGGAAGGCTGTCTTTTCAACAGAATGACAGACCAAGGATAATTCGTCCTATAAAGAACACACACTGAAGTCCCCCAAATCCTTCACCAGAGGAAAGGGCTTATTACAGACAAGGTAGACAGGTTTGGGGTCTTCGTGGAAGTACAAAGCAGTGTGTGAAGTGGTTTGTAGTGGTTTCATGGGGGAGCACCTTTCCCAACACATTTGTTAAGGGTCTGGCTCCTCATCCTTGGGGCAATTGTTCCTCCCCACCCCACCCCAGCAGAGACGAGAGGAGAGACACCCTGCACTGAGCCCTCATGTCTGTGCAATGTGAACATATTCTAGACAGTGCAAGGATGGTACTGTCTTTACTTT